TACTTACTAATAGCTAGTACTATAATAAATAAGTATATAATACTTATTATTTAATATAAGCTATAGCTTTAGTACTTTAGATAATAGAAGTAGTAATTATATTAGTTAGTTTAGTATTTTGATTTTATTTAAATAAGTTAAATTCTAGTATATTTTAAACTAATTTAATTTTATAATACTAGTATTACTACTACTATAATTAGTTAGTATCTAATAATATATTTACTACTCTTATTACTACTATAATTAGTTAATATCTAATAATAATATATTTACTATTCTTATTACTACTACTTTATTTTTTCTTATCTAATTTACTTCTTGGATTTAATTTACTTCCTAGATTTCTTATATATTTACTAAAGCCTCTATTATTCCCTTATATATCCTATTTCTACTACTAATATTTCTTTCTATAAGATAACCTCGACTTTTCCTTTTACTCTTACTATTACTATTTCTTTAACCTTTATAATTATAACTTCTTTTATCTCTACTATTACTACTACTTTTATATTTCTTATATATATATAAGTTACTTTCTCTACTTCTTATTTCCTTTCTACTACTATTTATATTTAAATTATTATATTACTTTTAGATTATTATATTTCTTTTATATTACTTCTTACTTTTATATTATTACCTTTTCTTTAGATTATTATATTTCCTTCCTATTACTACTTTACTACTTATCTTTAAGTTATTATATTTCTATTCTATTACTACTTATATTTATATTATTATATTTTAGTTAGATTATTTATTATATTTTATATTTTCTTTCTATTACTATTTATATTTATATTAATATATTTTATTCGGATTACTTATTATATTTCCTTCCTACTACTACTTACTTTTAATTAAGTATTTGCTACTAATACTATTACTTACTAGTATATTAAATTAAGTAGCTATTACTATTCCTTTATTATATTAAACCCTAATAATCTTAGTAGCTTTATTTAATTACTTATACTAATAGATTTTGCCCCTGAATCTATTTTACTATTACCAGATTTTAACTACCTTATTATCCTTGGCCTCAATTCTACTAATAGTAATATAATTACTACTAATAATATTAAAAAGGCAAAGAAGTATACTACTAAGTATTAATATAAAGCTATACTTATCCGCTTCCCTGCTACTACTACTACCTTTCCCAGTATAGATCAAGTTAATATAGCTTATAACTATCTTCTTAATAGTATTACTAATATTTACTCTATTACTTATACTTAGTAAAACTAGTATTATAATATCTTCTTCCCGGAATATACTCCTAGTAATCCGCAAGTCTTCTAGCCAGCCCCTACTACTTCCTCTATTACTTCCGGATCTGGCTCCTTTACTACTCCCGGATCTAATATATTTACTACTTCCAGATCTGGCCTATCTACTATTACTAGATCTAGCCTATCTACTACTACTAGATTTTCTCGCCCTGCCTCTACCTCTACTAGCTAGACTACTTACCCTGCCAGCTATAAATACTATACTTATTTTATATTTCGTACTACTAATAGCAAACCTACTACTAGTAGTCCTTATCCCTTCTATTACTAGTACTACTAATATAATAACTATTCTACTAGTTCCTCCGGCCCCCCTCTCTATTATCCTACTATCTCTATTATTACCGGATCTGGATTTTCCCCTACTAGTAGTATTTATAAAGAACTAATTAAATTAAGCTCTAGTTCTAGTAGTAATAATAGTAATAAACCTATAAGTTTTGACTTTAATAATAAGAGTTATAGTAATAATAATAATAAGGAGGAGAATAATCCATTACTAATACTATCTCGAGAGCCTTATCTATATAGTAGTACCTTGTCTAGTAGCTCTTATAGTACTTGCGGCGGTAGTAGCTCTTATAGTATTTATAGTAGTAGCTCTTATAGTTATTATAGTAATAGCGGTAGTACTTAATATAATAATAAAATATACTATATATCTATTTCTAATTCCATTACTAATAATAGAATTATTATTAGTATATAGTATAATACTACTAGTAATTCTCCTAATACTATTACTACCGGTTTCGATTACTATGGCTATATCTTTTATTATATTACTAACTATAACCTTATTAGAAATAGTATTACTATATCTAATACTATTACTACTAACTTTTAAGATATTAATTTCCGTAGCCTATACCGGAATATAGATATAGTATAACTTTGCTTAGTAGTCGACCGGGACTTGTACTTACCTATATATTAGCGTCTATAAGCAAATAGTACTAGTACTAGTATTAGTGGGTTTTCTTTAGAGGTTTTTTTTTTCGGATTAGCCTTTTTTTTAGAGAGTGGTTTAGGTAGTAGTTTGGGCAATTTGGGTAGTTTAGAAAGTACTTATAAGTTGGGTTTTCGGGTTTTGGGAGGTATTAGTAATATTAGGAGATACCCTAGTTATTACTACTAGTAAGCCTTATTTTAGAAATAGTAAAAGTAAAATTTGAAGACTTTTCTATACTTCTTTTGCCACTACTAGTAATATAAACAAGTACTAGCAGTAATTGAATTAGTACTAGTAATACTATTATATATTAATTATTTATATACTTATATAATTTTACTCTTATATTTTAGGTATATATCTCTTAATATAGACTCGGCTAGTACTATACGATTATATCTATAGCTAGAGTATAGTACCTACTAAATATAATATTTAATATAATATATAGTATATATACTAGTAATAGTAGTAATAGTAGTAGTTTACTATATTCTAATATATTTATAGTACCGAAATTAGGTACTTTTTAACTCCTATAAAAATTTAAAAGTTCTCTATTATATAGTAATAGAGATAGTAGTAGTATAGACTACTTTGCTTATATTAGCCCATATAAAAAAACTCTATTACTATATAATAGAGCACTAAATAATATTAGGGCTTATATTCTTTAAGCTTGGCTATATTCCTCAGGTTATAACTACTAAGGAACTATATAGTTGCCTTAAACTCGTCTCCTAAGAGTTAGTATAACTATATTTATAGGTACTACTCTTAATTATATATCCCTAAAATAATATAGGACTTATAAATATAGTAAATAATAATTCTATAAATCGGATTATATAAGAATATAATAAGTATATATTTTAAGACAAGGAAATACTTATTTAAAGAGGGGTAAAAAGTAATAGGAAAGGTATTCTTTTACTAAAATTCCTTTTACCGGAAAATATATTAGTTAGTAGTATATATACTAATTAGTATACTAGTATTCTTATCTTTTACTAAAAAAGAAGCCTTATATAAGAGATAGATTTAGATTTAGAATTTAAATCTAAGAAATATTTATAAAAAGCTTTAAATTCTTTATTTTTTCTTTATAAGAAAAAGAACTTATATTAGAATTCGAATTTTAGCTTTTTAATTTCAAATTTATTTTTTTATAAAAGAATATATTATTAGTTAATTATTTTTCTAAATATAAAAACTTGTTTTTATATTTCGAAAAGCTTTTTTTTATATTAGAAATACTTTTTTATTATTATAAAAATAGTAGTTTATATCTTATAATATTAGAATTATATAATATAAGAAAAAAATAAAATAGAAAAAAATATAATTAAAGAAATATAATATAAAAAAAGAAAAGAAAATAAGAAATCTTTTATTTATTATTTAAAAGAACTATATTTTAGGAACTAGAACTATAAAATTATATTTTAGAACTATATTTATATTTACCTAAATCCCTAAAAAAGTTCTATTATTTCTATAATAATAGCTTCTAATAGGCTAGTAAAATATCTGCTATTTCTACTAGTTAGTTTTATAGAATTATTAAAGAACTATATCTTAGAACTATATTTTATATCTATTTAAATTTTTAAAGAAATAGAAAAGACTAGGAAACTATATTTTAAAAAGAAACTAAAGAACTATATTCTAGAATTATATCTAAGTCTATTTAAATCCCCGAAAGGATTTCCCCTAATAAATTCAGAAATCGGACTAAATTAGAAGATTTAATATATAAAATTTTTATATAACTTATTTAATAAAAATAGAAGACTTTATTAATATTTCGATTTCCTTAGAATACTTCTAATAAAAAGTTATAAAGTTCTTAGAGAACTTTATAGCAGGGTAGTATAGGCTCTCTAATTATAAGAATTTAATTTCGAAGAATAGTATTATATAGTAGTATATTATAATTAACTAATACCAAGTTATAGCTGGAACTAACCGAAAAATCAGTGAAATCTAAGGTATGAATCATTACTCAGATTTCTCAGATCATTATTCTTGATCCCAAATTGTATTTCTGGATATGATTATCGGCGAGCACAGCAGTACTTCAACTGTCATGCGAGCCCCGGCGGCCAGGGAATTCCCCAACGAACCCCTCCTCGCAAACGCCGACAGCCAATTCCTTCTCGGCAGCACCCCCGTAGTAGCCCCCGATCTCGCGTAAAGTGCAAACATAACTGACGGTGCCTTTCCCGGCTTTGGACATGGAGAAGTCTGGTACGATCGGCATGCCCAATTCCCTGTGGCCGCTTCCTCAGAACAAAATATCACGATCGATGCACCGCTTGGCCACATTCCAGTTTACATCCGTGGTGGAAGCGTGCTGCCTACGTAGCAAGCGGGCATGACAACTAAGGAGTGTAGGAGTAATCCTTGGGGTCTCATTGCGGCAACTAGTTTGGAAAGCACGGCGAGTGGGCAGTTGTATGTTGATGATGGAGAAAGTGTGAACCCTAAAGCTACGCTTTGGGTTGAGGTAAGTCACCGCCCCCCTCTTTTAAATCAAACTTGTTGACTGAAATAATTGCAGTTCTCGCTCACAAACTCAGCGCTGTATGCGTCGGCAAGGGGGAGGTACAAATATTCGAATCCTCTTGCCAACGTCACAGTCTTGGGTGTTGGATCAAGGGTCAGCAGTGTGCCTCTTAATGGGGCGAGTATCTCTAGTGGGTAGACTTATAATGTGACCAGCAAAGTATTGGTAGTCACTGGACTCAGTAATTCAACAAGTGCGGAAGCGTGGGGGAGTGATTGGGTTTTGAAGTGGGCTTGAAGAGAAGATTAATGAGTGAGGAAGAAAGGAGACGAGGAGATGTAAATATTAATGAATGAATAGAATGAATCCAAACGCATACCGTCCTGCTTGAATCCGAGAACGGTCCTCTCCTTGACTCCCTCGGTCCCTGTCCCACTCGAACCTTCTCTATCACCCCGATTCCTAAGGCCACACTCGCAGCAATTCTGACAGCCTGGCTCCGGGAATTCCGCTTCATGTCAAGCATCCGCAGCTCGGTTGCTTCATCTTCTTTACCCGCTTTCTTGGACAATTTCCAGTCCCACAGAACGTATGAACCCACTACTGCGATTGTGAGTGGGATCGACACTGCCCAGTAGATCCAGAAGATGGGGGAGACGGAGGGACTGTTAGAGATACTCGACTGAGGGACTTGGGAGGGTCAGTTATTTGGGCTGTAAGGGAAAGAGGTAGGAATCGGGTCGAAGAAATTCTTAACAAGAGGTTAAACGAGGAAAGCGGTTATAGGCAGAGGTCGGACTGAAAGAGGGAAGTGAAAGTGGAGGGTGGTACGAACCGAAAGGTGTGCTCCCGGGAGAAACGCTGTCCTGACGATTGTGATTGCTTTCTGAGAGACGGCTTCTCTTTTGCTGGAGTGGGCGAGCCTAGTCTGCGCTGAGGCTATCTGGAAGCTGGCTCTGTTGTCGATTTGGCCGCAGCACATTGAGAGCAAACTCCGCTGAACCTCGAGTCTTTGAAGGGTGGTGGACTGGTACTGTTTTTGCCCATGTAACTTCTTCCGATAGAAATTAATGCGAGACGAGAGCATTGAGTGCGTGTGGTGCTGGTTCAGTGGACATGTGGGCCGGGAGACGGTCTTTGAGCGTGCATTTCAAACAGAGACATCGCGTCGTCGAAGCCGTCTAGCACACGGAGATAAGCCGAGGGGCTTTTCTTCAACACCTCAGTGTGACATGTGGCCAATTCCATGATAATTTGATTGAAGTTGATGAGTCCGTACTCGTCTATATAACTATCCTGGGGTCCAGCCGCCGTTCGATCGTGGGTCACAGCCTGTTCAATCCTACGCAACCGCTCTCTTGCAGCTCGTTGCCAAATCTCTACCCGCACAGCGTTAGCAAGGCTGAATAAACCGCTGAATATGATGAGAGGGAAAATCATAGGGTGGGCGATCTGCTCTGCGGCAGCTTTGGTGGTATTCACGCTGTCGAGAATGTATGACTCTGTGGACGCTTTGGAGAACGCGGTCGTCATGTCCGTTTTCAGATTGTACGACAAAAGCAATCCCCAACCTTTGGTGCCTTTTTCCATGGCATCAGTCTTGCGGTAAATTATCTCTGGCGTGGAAATAGTTAGCTATGTGAACGGGCGATATGCTTAGGGACATTCGGCGATTTGCATCCTCATATGACATACGAATGGCTTCAAGTTGCTCATCACAGCCTGTCCAGAAGACTGAGAAGAGTGGCCTGACAGTGGTGGAGCCCTCAATACCCTTGTGAAGGAGACAGAACCCAGTCATCATTCTAGAGTACTTGTCTGGAGGCAGACTGATGACAGAGGGAGAGAAGGTTTTGGGATGGGATGCGTTCTGCTGTAGACTGATTATGAGTCAATAACATCGACCACCAAGTCCAGCACAGTTTTTAACAGACATCATCTTCGATCCAGTGACTTGGGTGACACCGTCGGGAAGGGTCCGCTGTGCGAAGGTGCCCTGTTCATGTCTTAAGACCAAATTCGAGAAAATTCAGAAGCGGACACACTGTCCGGAAGAGAAAGTCGTCAAACTGGTCGAGGGGCAACAAATGCTCCACCACCGTATCATAGCGAGAGCCCTAATTGAAACTGGTCAATCCTGGGCGCGATAACCTCGAATGAGGGCAGAGGACGCACAGATAGGTGTATATCTCTAGATATTAGGTTTCTTCGAAGCCCAGTCGGCACTTCTCGACGAGAAGCTCAAACAAATATATCTAAATCGAAGTGAGTGTATTCGAACCGCTAAAACGAGAGAAACTGAGAATGGACCGAGATAAGGCAAGAACTGCACGTCTGTCTACTTATTCAATTTCGATTTCATATCCACCAGGCGTGACAAGCCTTCGTCGTCCTTGTGGAGATAGAGGCAGAGCATCTTGAGAGCCTCGCCGCAAACGGAGAAGTTCTTCGAAAGACCTTATGCCAACACACGCATGTCCCACCTGGACTCAAGCCAAAGTAGATATAATGATGCTCAGCATGGAGCGGCGGGATGGACAACACATGCTTGCTTCCGTCACTCCTGGAGAAGACAAAGAGCCTGCAAACGTCAGAACTTGCCGGATGCTGGAATTGACTCATTGTGCTGCCGAAAGCATGCGAAATCGAAACAATCATTCGCAGTAATGAGCCCTTCGACTAGGCTCTCAATCAGCTGGAGGATTCGATTCATCGGCATGGGTATTGTATAATGCTTAGAATGATTCACCTCGAATCTCCAACAGATTCTGTTTTTAGCACAAAGCGCGCCGGCTCCCTCTTCAGGCCTAGCGCAGCTAAGTTCGCGTCCCGGGGTCAGCCAGGACCCAGCCAGCGCCCAGCCACATCTCCGGATTTCCCAGCTTCCCTCCTTTCTTCTCCTCCTCCCCCTACACCACCGGTGACACAATAACAACAACCCTTACAGCTATCTAACAGATGCATATCGAACGAAATAACGCGAACATTCTTTCCCTTCTCGGCCCCAACCAGATGCGCACTGAGATCAACCTCCAGAAACTGTTCCGCAACTATCGCTCCCAGATCAGAGTGGATGCTGAAAGACGTCGAGGAGCACCATGAGAAACCCAGCGCCTGCCTTGACAACTGTCCGAGGCTTCCACACTCCTGTCCCCGGGTCAGGAGACGAAGACTCGGACTACGGAACCCACACACCGTCGAGAAGACACAAGATCCACGATGTCGTCAGCGCGAACAGCAGCCCGATGCTGCGCTCCTCGGCCTCGCCAGCACCGGGTGGAATCAGCAAGCTGAAGCTGCAACTCGACACGCTGAACCTCGAGAACGATTCGCGCAGCAACTCGTTCGCGCGCAGCCGCAGCCAGCTGCGATCGCATCCGCAGAGCAGCACGGGCACGAACACGTCCGACGGTTTCAGCGATGATGAAACGTCCGACATCACCAGCTACGAGGTACCGCTTGAGTCCGACTTCGTGAGCGAGAGTCTGCGCGACAAACCACTGTATGGCGCGATCGAGGGTGGCTTGGTGCAGGACACGATCGCGCGGAAGATGACAGCCTCGGATTTTGAGCCTCTGCGCTGCCTGGGAAAGGGAACATTTGGCACAGTGCTTCTGGTTAAGCAACAGGCGACTGGGCGGCTGTACGCGCAGAAGCAGTTCAAGAAGGCGTCGTTGACTGTGCATAAGCGGCTGATCGAGCAGACGAAGACCGAGCGATCGATTCTCGAGAGCGTGAACAGACATCCTTTTGTCGTGAAGCTTTTCTATGCGTTCCAGGACCATGAGAAGCTGTACTTGATTCTCGAGTATGCGCAAGGCGGGGAATTATTTACACACCTGGCGCAGGAGCGCATGTTCACCGAGGAGGTCGCGTCCTTCTACATGGCGGAAATGGTTCTGGCGCTCGAACATCTCCATCGCAATCTGGGCGTCATCTACCGCGATCTCAAGCCCGAGAACTGCCTGCTGGACTCTGAGGGACACCTCCTCCTCACAGATTTTGGGCTGTCGAAAGTCGCAGTCGATGAGAACGACAAATGCAACAGCCTCCTCGGCACGGTCGAGTACATGGCCCCAGAGGTCATCCTGGGACAGAAATACGGCATGGCAGTTGACTGGTGGTCTTTCGGTGCCCTTGGCTTCGACTTACTGACTGGCAGTCCTCCATTCCAAGGTCAAAACCACGCAAAGATACAAGAGAAAATCTGCAAGCAGAAACTCGCCATGCCCTATTTTCTCGGTCCGGACGCCAAGGATCTCCTTACCCGTCTCCTGCGAAAGGAAACCCATAAGCGTCTGGGTTCAAACATGCCAAAAGACCTTCAAACGATGAAGAAGCATCGCTTTTTCCGCAAGATCGACTGGAAGAAACTCGCGAAGAGGGAGATCGAGGCCCCGATTCAGCCAGTGATTACCGACCCAGAACTTGCAGAGAATTTCTCAGATGAGTTTACGGATTTGGCGCTCAGCCCCGTATTGATAAGTAGTAAGGCGCCCTGGTCGAGTACCGCAACAGGACCGAATGGGGCGGAGAATCCGTTTGGTGGGTTCAGTTATGTGGCTAGTCAGAGCTTGTTAGATGGGAATGGGTTTGCTGGAATGGAGGTCGGTGCTGAGGCTGGCGTGGCTGCCTAGATAGCATTCCTCCTGATCATGACTATTGGATACACGGTACACATGGGATAGAAAAGACCAGACAAAGAGACAAATTTGTTCTTGAGGTGGGATGGGAGGCGTAATAGACAACTGTACTTTGGGACAGGGAATCTTCTTTTTGGCGTTCTGTCTGCTTTATTGTTATCGAGGGAGAGAATGGACATATTCGCACTCGCAACATCTCTATAATTTCTGAACCTCCGCTAGTGTGGACTCCGTCGAAGGCAACTTTTAAGGCTTATGCACAAAAGCAGACATCTTACAATATCTGCAGGTCTCTCACATTGTGCACCCTCATCTTTGATATGAACGCAATCTTGAAGTTCAGAATACGCTGCTGTATCAGTACTGCAGTCCATGCTGAGACTGAACTCTACCACCCCACCACTCTCTTCTCTCAACGGCTTGGCGATGGACAAAGCGGGGTAAACAATCGTGCACTAGTCACATTGGCCCCCTGATAAATTTAGGTCTAAGTTCCACTGCCGAGGAGAATGTTGCAGATGGTGATCGTGCCTATCCAAGAACCGGGCCGGCAAGTTCTCATTGCACATGAGTTTAAACTTCTTAACTCCTTCCTCTCTAGATTGCTAAGTTTAGGACTTGAATTGGTCCCCTCACTTGGAATAAATACCTCCATCTCATAGGTTCTCGGCGTCACCTATCAATTAAACAAGCATGAAATCGTCATCATGCCCAGGCGCGAAAAGCCCTTCGTACGAGGTGATACAGAGGAACACATGTGGCCGGTGGAATGATGAGGCTTCCTAAATTCGACCTTCCCAAAGGCTGGTCCCCCTCTTCGCACGCCACTCAATTGATTTCCTTTCAAGATGCTGGGACCCATTTCTCTAGTCTTACTTACACTGGCAGCTGGAGCACTTGGCTCACCAGTCAAAACAAATTTCGTACCTCAGAAATGGAGACAAGCTGGGAAGGCTGCTGGAGGCCATGTGCTTCATTTAAACATCGGGTTGAAACAGAGCAATTTCAATGAGCTTGAGCGTCACCTGTACGATGGTCTGATTGCCTCCCTTTCCGAAGTACCATCTCCTTCTAACTTGAGCTGACTTGAAATTCTCTAGGATCCGACCCAGATCATGATCGATACGATCAGCACTTGAGCATGGAGGACGTGAATGACATTGTCACACCCACAGCCAAAACCTCGGGCCTTGTGCACGAGTGGCTAAGTCAGAACGAGATCATGGGCCTCACCTGTAGCACATCCCAAAACTGGATCTCAGTTGCGCTGCCGATTGAAGTGGCCGAGCGGCTTTTGACCACCGAATATCACATCTATGAGCATGAAGATGGTGACCGCCTTATGAGAACCCCAGAATGGCCGCTTCCCTCTGTGTGCACGAACATAACGATGCGATCCAACCCACAACATCCTTCATGCGAACCTCAGCACAGAAGATCGAATTCCTTCTTTCTCCACCACAGACCTCTCCCGGATACACACTGCCCTCAAACGCCTCTATCTCAAAGGCCTGCAACGTCAGCTCCGTCACCCCAAAACACTTCATGAACCTCTACTCAACTCTCGTCTACGACCCCAAAGTCCCAGGACTGACCCAAGTCGGCTTCAACAAGTCCTTGGGCGAGATCCCAATCCGACCCGACACTGCCAAGTTCTTTGCGGAGTACCGTCCCCCGGCTGTTGATGCAGCATACAACTTCAAGCAGATCTCGATAGCCAATGGTCTAGTCTAGGGCGGTCCGCTGAATATTTCTAGGCAGCCGAAGGCACCTCTCGAGAAGTGAACCCCGATGCCCAAGCAATTACAGGAATCAGTGATCCGACTCCCGTCATCTCGTACTCAACTGGCGGCTCATCTCCTTTCACCTCGGATATCAATACACCGGATAACACGAACGAACCGTATCTAGTCTGGCTGAACTACGCCCTCAGCCAAGCAAACGTTCCTCAACTGATCAGCAGATCCTACGGATATGATGTGCAGACAGTCCCACAAGAATATGCTCAGCGAGTATGCAAACAAATGGCTCCCGGTGCTCGAGGCGTGTCAATCCTCTTCGCGTCCGGTGATCGAGGGGTATGAGTCAACAACACATGCCTTAGCAATGATGGGAAGAACACAACTATGTTCATTCCTTCTTTTCCACTAGGGTGTCCATATGTCACAACAGTAGGCGCCACGCACTAGTTCGAGTCCGAGTTTGTAGTTTTCAGGCCTGGGTATCTTGGCGCTGATGGGAATTATCAGGAGATCTACTCTAGTGGTGGAAGGTCCAGTAATTATTTCAAACGACTACTGTATCAGGAGAAGGTTGTAAGTGCGCATGTGCAAAACTTGGATGGGCTATACGACGGGTGGTATAACAGAGGTACGTTTCCCTCCCCATCCATGAGCTTAAAACTGGCGAGTGCAGATGGACGTACATACCCTGATATATCAGCGCAAGGGTAATACTTTGCCTGCTTGTGGAACGGAACCGAAGGCGTCATCAGCGGAAAAAGCGCTTCTACTCCTCTGATGTCGGGTATTATCGCACTTGTGAACGACGGGTTGCTTTCGTGTGGCAAACGATAAACCTCTTCTTGGATTCCTGAATCCGTTTATTTATCAGAAAGGATACAAGGGATTTACTGATATCACGAGTGGATGCGCGACTGGCTGTGGAGTTGATGGCTTTAACGCGACGGAGGGGTGAGACCCGGTTACTGGCTTTGGGACGCCCATCTCCCTTGTATTAGTGGGGTTCGCAAAAGTTTTGGGGAGGAGCGGAAGAAGTAAATGAACTGGACGGTCGAGGAAGTGACGGCCATGAGAACATAATTCAAGTTTAATAAATGTATGAATTCATGTTCGAACATCTGAAATGTGATTTCTACCTACTATCTACCTTTGAATATTATTCCGAGCAGCTGACTTCTCTCCATCTCAGCTATCGATAGGAAAACTGTCAACAAATTTGAACGCCGCCAACTCATCTTCAAATTACTTGACAAAGCTGGACATGTCACCGGACATTACCCCATTACTCACATACACCCCCGGCGTCGCGATACTCGCAATTTTAATCACAACAGAAGAACCAGGAACTGGCTTTTCCAACCTATATCCATCAACCAGGATTTGCAGTAGCCGATTAGCTGGGAAGAATGTCGAAGAGCTCCTACTTATGAACAGACTTTCGGCTCCGGTAGCAACGATAATACCACCAAATTCAGTAGGACCTGCCGCACTATAGGTCTGGTTTATAGCACCTTGTTGGACCTTACTACCTACTATCACGTTGACGCCCTGGGACGCAAAAGCCCTCGTGAAGGAAGAAGTTTGGACGAGTGAGCCAGACGAGTTGACAGGCGCAAGGGCACCAACATTCAAGCCCGCAACAGACAGGAAGTATGGAAACTAATTTCGTCGAATCGTTGTTGCATAATGTTGGATCTGGGTCTAGAGCTGTCACTCCCACGACTTCAGCAACGTGTTTCGCGAGGTCGTGCTCACGCGGTTGAGCTGGACGATTACGCTTGACTTAAAGATTGTGGATTTCAAGTGGGAGACTACGAAAGGTATTGCGTTAATGAGGAGTTGTTGCCCGGTGGGGACGAGGCGGTCGAAGAAGGGGCGGGGTTGCAATAGGCGTCTGCAAAGGTAGAGGATATAGAGCGGACGAGGTTCCCCATGACAATTCGGCCTGAGGTTATGAAGAACTCGTTTCCGACAGTTTGGTTGGCTTGTTTGGAATTCCGTTCTTGAGGTTATTTGGGGAGTATGCTGTTGTGTTTAGGTGGATGAAGTTTTGGGCTGCAAAGTCTCGGTTGTTCTGGACGTTGACGAAGGGCCGGTTGATGGGAGGATGCTCAAAGTTTGGTCCACCTCGAATGTTCAGTTGAGTGTCCAAGTGCAAGTAAATTCGGCCTTATTCGAGGGGGTCGTTACTGAAGTCGTGTCTTAGAACAATGTGGTCACGTCGGAACTGCAGGAAATCAGCTGAAATTCAATGAACCACAAAGAGTTGCTGCTTACTGTAATCTGCTCTATTTCGGCAATATAATTGGTCGGATTGGTGTCTATTCCACCGTTTCGGGTGGCGTGGCAGGAACAAGTTCTTCTGGGACGTACCTAGTTGGGTCTGGGGTATCAAAGCAGAAAGCAAAGGCCTGGCTTTCATCCACGATCTGCACACTAAGCTCCCACTCAAGCCCATTGCCAGAGGTAATTGCATCCCAAAGATCCTATCTGTAAAAATTGGCATTCTTCCAAGCCAAGACTTGAGCTTCTTCCCAAACTAGACTTGCCTTGCCCTGCTGCGGTTTCCAGTCCCATTTCGCAAATTTCAATTTGCCATTATCCATTAAAAATCGGGAGGCATGTACACCAAAGGCATCCCTGTATCTGTATGATCTCAGCATTTCGTTCCCTGCCATAGCCCAAACAGAGTATGGAGCTCGCTGGGCTGCTGGCTGAAAGAGTTCCAGGTAGAATCATGGGTGGCTGCAGCTTGTGGGATTTCTCGATCCGGTGCGTGCTTGACAACGTGAATGGGGTCAGCGAAGAGAATGGGGCATCTGGGATAAAGAAGGCGGGATGTTGTTTTCAACAATACAAGAGGCAGGTAAGATTACAATCAGCTTCCATGCTGCGTACAGCGTGAAATTTAACTCGAGGGCCTAGTTTGGTATGGACCCATGGTTGCATGTGACGATCTCGTGCAGCTATTGCCTCTTTATGTACAAGACCACTATCAAGGCTTGGTCAAAAGTCTGAAAAATCGACATACGAAGTCTATGCTGGGATTTTGTGAATTAAGATGGTCTGGCGCCGAATCAGACGAATTGTACGCTATTAAATATCTCGTGCTGACTCGAAGGCTACTCTTGTTTAGTCTCAATGAAAGCAACTCCTGCGGAGTTAAGCGAAGCCGCTGAATAGGGGCTTAAGCGAGAATACCTTGAGATATGATCATAATCTTCTCGCATTATTCGGTAGCAAGCAGAATAGTACGAGGTCACACAATGTCCCTTATTATAAGTATTTGGGCAATTGAATTTGAGAACTGTTGCCCTTTCCATTTTAATAGTACTCCAAACCGCCGGTATGCGTGTTACGCTGTGCGGGAGAAAATTCGCTTGAGCCTCAGGCACACATTTCGCTTAATTATGGCGCTAAGGAGTATTTAGCCTCTCTCCAAGCTTCTACGAGCTTTACGCTTCTCTTCTAGAATTCATCGCTGTTCTAGAAATCTCTTGTGTTCCTATGTAACGTGAATTTGACCTGGTAATTCATTAACCTGGTACTTGGTTCACTTCTGCCTATCTCTTCTGAGGATCTTCATTTCGCTGAAATTAGCGCAATCACGCTAAAAATTCACAACCCCCACTTTTGAGAGTTCCCCATGTTCCACATAATCAAGGAATATCCGTTTAGGGAAAAAGGCAGTGAGTAATTAAAGTGCCCGTCCCCCTTTTATTTTCTTTTGTGTGTCTAAGTTTGGGTCAACGGCCTTTGGAAGCTTGCTGGGGGCCACGACTAAGACATCGGGAGAGCTCGAGCTTCAGAGGACATGGATGCACTATAAGCGGCAGGTGATCTTTTGAACAAATTTGCTGCACTGACATCCAATCGCAGAATCAAAGTCTGACTGGTTTCGATATGGCGGATCGTTATGGCAATGCTGGTATATGAGTCGTGCCATATATTACTAGCTCTCACTTGGGGAATGCTGAATTGGTATAGAGCTGGACATTTAGTATATCAAAGGAATACTCAGACTACTTGAATTACTTAAGTATATACTCACTAAGTATTAAGTAGAATATAAGTAGCCTCTTTATAACTAAGCTTAAGTAGTTTAATTACTTATTACGTGGTTTATTCTACAAATATCTCTTATATTATAAATATTATTAAATATTTCACTTTATTATCTTTTGTATTACTTAAAATTTCTCTAATACTACTTATTATACTAGTAATATTTATTATAATAATTATATACTGTTTTATATATATAACTTTTAAATAATAAGTCTAAGAGAAAAGTAATATATAAGGCTTATTTGACTTCTTCTTGCTCTTAGATATAATATAGCTTTTTAAAGTAAGTTTAAAACTAATAATTAAGTCGGGGAACTTGCCTATTATAATATATACTTATACGTGACTCACTACTTAAGTTACTTAAGTATATACTTAATGAGTATTGAGTAGCGTATAAGTAGGATATATTTTGGCTGAGTAGAGTATGAGTAGGACCCACTACTCTACTCTACTGTACTCTACTCTTTTGACACACTTCGACATTGGTAACCACAACGCGAATGACCGATTCAGATGGTCTCCTAACGGCATTCACCAAGTAGTGACATCGGTCTCGAGTAAAACGATTTGAGAATGTGGTAAGGACAGTTGATCTTGCGTTCGAGAGATTGGGGCAATCCAGAATGACTCTGTCACACTGTAAGTTGAAACCGGAGAGCATGTTCAGTTGCCGAATGCTGACAAAAGGCCACAGTATTCCACCAACACCTGTGTTCTCAACCTACGTGCTCGAGCTGCAACGTCAATAACTGCTGATCGCATATACTGGAAAGACATACTGAAAGGCTCGTATATGACTGAGACTGTCTTTCGCCAGCGATCGAATTATAGTCGAGGAACTGATACACCAACTGCTTTGAAGCACGTTGTCAGTATCTCGTCGCTGCCGCTGAAGATATCGCACGGTCAATAGTAATCAAAGCGACCTGTTGAATAGTTCTGGCTAGATGGATGGTTGAATCGGACATCGTCTTCGGGAACGCCATCAGTGGGCGTAATGCAGCGTTGTCCTTGGTGTCGAGAGCATCATCGGGTCATGCTTTAATTTAACACCAGTGAGGGTCAATATTCAGGATGACTGGGCTATCCTTGAACTCCCCCGCTGTATTCAATGCCAGCGGGTTACCGCCATGCCTTATGAGTCGCTAAGATTCCGAGAAATCATCAAACATTGAATCTAGTGGCCGGATCGGACCAGCATCTCCACGGTATGGCAACAGCAAAATATTGAACGCCAGAAAAAATCCGGATTAGCGGAAATGTATACACACTCGGAGCTGTTGCATCTCAAGAAGACTTTCCCTACTTGGCCGTTCTTTCTACCCCTCAACAAGATGATCGAATGGAGATTAGCAGGCTTGGCGATATTCCACCCTGGAACGTTCCACGGAACGTTCCGGCCGGTATCGACAGGTATTAGGTAATATCGGTAATGGAACGTTCCAATCGTTCCAAAATGGCAGGGGTAGGGCAAAAATAACAGGGGTAGGTTTACCCCACCTACCTCGCCTCAACTTCCTTCTCGTTTCTTTATTAATACCACTACTTGTACGAGAGCCTCTTTGCGGACCCTTCCAAGCCTTACTTCTACCCGTAAAGCTTTTTCTCTCCTCCCGCAAACCCTCCCAAGCCTCACTTCTACCCGCAAAGATCTCTTCCCCTCGCGAGCCCTCCCAAGCCTTATTCTCACCCGGAAACCCCCCCAGCCGTTCTATAGGCCCGTAAAGCTCCCTTCCTTATCCGTTAAGCCTTTCCAGCTCTCCTCCCGGTCCGTATTCCCTTGCAAGCCCTCTACTAAGCTCTCCTCCCTTTACAAACCCTCTCTTCCTACATATACCCGTAGAGCCCTCTCTTTCCTCCTATAGGCCCTCTTTATTTATCCAGCCCTCCCAAGCCTCACTCGTATAAGTAGAGTATATAAGTGAAGTATATAAGTAGGGAGCGTGTAAGTAGGGAGCGTATAAGTAGGGAGTATGTAGAGAGCTTTGGTATTTCCGGAGCGAGTAATATATAGGGGCTTGGGCTCAAGTTTTTAGCCTCTTAATAGTATAATTAATAGAAATCTTTGCAAAATAACGAGAATCTACAGGGATTAGCTTGCTTAGGAACGATTGGAACGTTCTATTACCGCCCGTTCCAGACCCCTGGAACGAATCGGCAGAAACCGATTGGTCCGGAATATCGCCAAGCCTGTGAGATTAGTTTGATCTTTACCTCTAGCAGTGGCATCACTACTCTTTTCATTGCAGAGGAGATGTTTGAAGCTCTCATACATACTACAATTCAATTTTCAACCAACCCCAATAATCCCCTTCAGGCACCTGAGTACCTCCTGGCCATGGAGCGTAAAACTTTGGATGAAGGGGATATACAAGTGGATCGAGAGCTGTCATCGAATGTGCAAGGGCTTTGCCGTGAAGGCCTTGTTTATTTTGATGTGCTCACCTGATAATGAGAGAAGATTCTTCGGGACGAGACCGAAGCCGCCATCATTGATCCGGACACCTCCTTCTATTGACCTGGTGGAGATATTATTGTCCTTGCCCAGGTGTTATCTTTGCTGGGGCAGAAGGCTACAAGCTGCGAGTCTAGGACTAGGTGGATCATCCGATTATGATTGAACAGCTTGCTCTCCCGGCCGTGGATAAGAAGGAGGAGATAATACTGGGGGCAGTTGGAGGCAAGGCCCGGTGGCTTAAGGAATCCATACAAATTATAGGCTAGTTGTGATTTTTATTTGTTCTTGTAACGGCTGGCGTAAGGGCATGATCTGCCAAGGACAGGATATCGGAAACAGGCACAAAACGAAGCTAAGCCGGAATTGCTTGGACGGAATAATACTAAAGGTCAAGACATTCTCTCTACTTTATTCTATAGCTTAGTATTTTCTAATATATAAGATTCTTTGAACTTTGAGCCTTTGACTATTATATTAATTCTGCTATTATATAATACTAAGCTTATTTGACTCGGCCTATAAAGGCAATATAATACTACTAGTAAAGGACTTATATTTGTCTTTAGAAAGTAAAGATAAAATACTGCTTTTAATATTTAATAACCTCTTTAAACTATATAGAACTAGAGAGCTTAACTGGAAATATAATATCTTCTATAATCTAGTTAATTTCGGAGCCTAATTTTTAATTAGAACAGATAATATTTCTTTTCTAGTAATTGGTTCTTTACTAATATAAAAGAAGAAAGATATTATTCTCTATAATCTAGTTAATTTCAGAGCCTAACTTTTAACTAGAATAAATAATATTACTTTAATATTAATAAAAGTAAAAGAACTAGTTTCTTTTTCTAGTATAAGAAGAATTAGTAATAGTTTACTAATTTAAAATAAGAAAAGATAATAGTTAGTTTTAGTCTGCTAATTTAAAACTAGATAAAATATTAATTAGTTATAGTTTACTAATATTAAATAAGAAGAACTTATTTAATATTAACTTTTATAACTAATATCTTTTTTAAAGCTATTATAAATAATCTAAAACTAAATATTATTACTATAGATATATTAGATAAAAGGCTCTAATATAATAAAATAAAGAAGCTAGACTTTAATATTATAAATCTATATTACTAGAAAAGTTATTATAATACTATTTTAAAAAAATATATTAAGAAATAGCTAATTAATTTAAAACTTAAAATTAATATAAATACTTTAAAAATAGATAAAATCTAATAGAGATTATTTATATAAAATAACTTTATTAATAAATATTACTAGAAATTCTATTTATATATTAATTAACTTATTAAAAAAGTTAATAAGCTAGAAGTAATTACTAATTAAGTTTATATAAAAGAAAAACTAATATAAAAAAAAGCAATAAAATAGAGATTTAAATAAATAAATATTTAGA